ACACACACACACACACACACACACACACACACACACACACACACACAAAGAAGTGGCTGCACATACTGTATGTTTTTTACATTTACAGCATTTTCACTGTGTTTTGTAAACTGCTCTCATATGAAGCGTGTTATGTTAACATATAATTTAACATTATATAATTTAATATATTTTACTCTAAAAGCAACAGTAGTGTTTTTGTGGCGATGAATAGTTTGAAAAATAAAGTTGCATTCATATGTGTTGAGTCGAATGAAGAGAGTGAATGACAATCAATGCAATTTACAATTAAAGGGATAGTTAATATTTACAACACAGGGATGAAATAATTTCTGGCTGGAGGGGGATTACTTGAGTTTTGTCATCGATTCATGGGCAATATTTGTATCACAACTTCTTAATAATTCACAACAATAAGTCATAACATCGTATGTCCTAAATGTAAACACTCCCTAGTATTTATAAAAAGGCCTACTACCAGTTTGCGAATTGTGTATGTCCCTCCTCTGCTGCCGTAATTACTATGGTGATTGCAAACAATTGCTTGTTGCCGACAAAACTTTTGATTGTTGTCAGCGGTGTTTTCATTCCTGAATAAGAAATGAAAAGCTGTAGTTTGCACGCTTTGCTGTTTCACGTTTGAAAGTAGGTAAGGATACGTTAGTGTGTTGGACCAATTGTTTAATTTAGAAATATTTTGAGCGTGTGTAGCTGTCACCCTTCTATCCCTCTGTTAGCTAACTGCTAATAGCTATGGTCTTAATTTACGTTAATTCCAAAACACTCTCTACGTGGTCTTCGACGTAACGTCAGCTATGTTTAGGCTCGATGACTCTCAGAGTGAAACTGTAATAAATGTGACAACTGTGCAAAATTACAAATCCTCAACCATGGTAAACGCCATCAGACACCAAAAACCTTCCTAGTTAATATGTCGTAATGTTGAGCTAACGTCTAGCTAACGTTGGATGCCTTCTGTCTCTTTCCAGCCATGTTAGCTGAGGATTCAGGAGCACCATGGAAGCCCTCGACCGATATCAAAGTAACTAAAGTTTGAATTAAAACAGCTTGGTGCTAATATTGATAAATAACTTGTGGTCTGCTTTTCATTTGCAACTGACATTTTTTACTAAACCTGTGTATTAAAATGTATCAGTTTTTGTCACTCCCTGAATAAGCAAAATAGTCCCATGAGCCACAGCAGTCTATACCTGTAATTGGATTACACAACTGTAGAGATTGGGGCCTTTTCCGACATATTTATCAGTATGGCAGTTCAAGCTCTGCAATATGAAATACAAAATGTTCAATTTACAATGTCTTTGGGGCATCTTCTGAAGTTGCTTGAAAAGTAATTTATCTGTGTCCAAAACTTTCCAAAACTCACATCTCCCAACTCTGCAGGATCCAGGGATTCACCAGAGGCACCGGGGTGAAAAGCACCAGCCACAAGCGTCCAGCCAAAGCCGCTGTCTCTCAGGGTTGGAACTGAAGTCAGAGCTGGTCTGGGAGGACTGGGACCTGGGGAGAGAGTTCACCAAGACATTAGTGTTAAAGAATATCCATAGCAAGCTGCAGAAGCTACATGTCAGGTCTTACAAACACACATGGTCATACATACGCAAACACATATATGAGGTAAGTATTCACACAATATCATATCTTTCATTCCTCACAGGCCTCCAGTGTCCAAGTTTTTCACCACCTTCATTCGTCAAATCATAGTTCTCAGCCCAGGGACTTCTTTCTCCATGCCGGTCTGCTTTAGACCACTCCAGAGGGTAACACATCTTATACATAATTGCATCTGTTAATAGATCTTATTAGTTTTTCTATCAAATGTGGGCTGAATTGGCATTTCTAGACAAACAACTTTCCAGTCTTATGGCTTTCAAGTGATGAACGACTATCATCCATATATCATCTACTTCTCCTGTCTCCTGTCTTTTTGTCTGTGTTTGTGTGTCTGTCTGCCTGCTTGGGACAGTGTGAGTATGAAGACAGCATTGAGTTTCAAAGTAAAGATGGCAGCTTCCAGGTATGTCTCCGTGCCATCATTCCCTGCCATGCCCTGGAGGTGCCTGACTCCGTGCTGCTGCCACTCTGTGCTGTTCAAAACTCCTCCAATACCAATTTCCTGCTCAAAAATGTCAGGTACGTATGAGTGTGTTTTAGACTAATACAGAGAAGTAGGAGGGATGAATAACCCGGGAGGAAAGGAAGCAGAATGCTTTGTATGAATGCTTTTGAACTGTTTGCGTGTTTATGTTCTGATTGGTGTGTTTGTGCTTTGCAGCAAGTAGTTAAACAAATCATGTCAAACTCTTTACTCTTTCCCCTTTCACTCCACTTCCCTCTTGTTAATCAATCCCTCGCTCTTTTTTTCTGTGTCTTCCCTATTTTACTACATACTCTTCTCCACACAGTAAACTCCAGACATGCTTCCAGTGGAACAACACAGCACTGTTCCAGATAAGCCCTGAGCAAGGCCTGTTGAAGCCCGGTCAGGAGTGTCACATCACTGTGGTCTTCCGACCACAAGAGGCACTGGTGTACCAGCAACAAGCCAACTGCAGGTTTGGAGATGAAGGGGACAAGGCCGAGAGCTGCTGCAGTGTGCTGCTGCAGGGAATAGGTACTGTTATTACTAACAGAGGAGACAGGCCAAAAAGAGATTGATAATCCACTGATTTTGTATATAGTATATGTGGTTAAATAGATAGATCAACTTTTTACAAGGAGATGATGGGTAAATAGGGAACCAATACTCTCCCACTTTCCTTTTGTCTTGACTCTGACTTCCTTCTCAGCCAAATACCCATGTCTTCAGCTGAGAAATCCAGATACCAAGGATGACAAAGAACAGTGTGGTCCAGAGCTGCACTTTGGCTCTGTGGCTATCGGACAAAGTTTGCAGAAACACTTTGACATCTTCAACCCCTCCCCTGTAAGTAGTACACAAAGATATGCAAATGTACACTCCTATAGACCTTCCCTATCATCGCTCTTTTTGCCCCTCTCCTCCAGGTAACTGCGTCATTCTCTCTTTCACGACTGTCCAGTGGGGCCCATTTGTTGGAGTCAGAGTTCATCTGTGATGTGACCAGGGGTAAGGTGGCACCTGGAGGATCACTACGGGCTGCAGTCACCTACACTCCGGCTGTGGTGGATAGTGTCTCTGTTGAGTACTTATCTGTTAAATGTAGAGGGGCATTAAATGAAACTCTGCTCAAGCTCACTGGAAACAGTATTGGTAAGGGACACGCATAAAGGAACACGCATGTAAATGCGTACCCCACTAGCATATTTTTCCTCTTTTTTTCACATGAAAAAAAGAAGGGAATCTATAGCTAGATACATATACAGTATAAACACTTGTTCTTTTTGTATCTAGGTCCCAAAGTTTCCTTGTCCTCCGCTGTGGTGGACTTTGGCTGTGTTGAGGAAGGAGGAGCAGTCGTACAGACAGTGGAGCTGGTTAATTCTGCGCCTGTTGAGGCTTTCTACCAATGGGACCTTGACTGTACTGGGAACAGTGTGTTTAGCATCCAGCCAGCAAGTGGCACTTTATGCCCACACAGCCATACCACACTCAAGGCAGTCTATAGGCCCACGCAGCCTATTGCACATCATAGGAGAGTGACATGTATCATACTGCACAGGGTAAGAGCCAATATGCAGATGCATACACACTCACAGCACACACAAACAAACATCGATATTCATTCTATCTACCTATTACTCTTTCCTGTAGGACCCCATATTCCTTGACCTGATAGGTACCTGTCACTCAGAGCTCCAGCATCCAGTGATACTGAAACCTGAGCACTTGGTTCTTTACAAGCTCCACTGGTACCACAGACGAGACCCGCCGGACACTCTCACAGCCATGCAGCAAGAAAATAAAGTAGACTTGGACCAAGAGGGAGTGCCCTGCCTGGGCGAGGAGGTAAAGTGCCAAAGAGAGATGAAACGTGCAGATTTGTCTAGTTTTTAAATACTTTATAAGAAGACATTAAATCACTTGCACTATGAAGACCATATGTCACCAGTAAAGGGCACAGTATAGGTTTGGTATTGTCTCTCTCACTCTTTCTCTGTGTCATTTTCTAGCAGTCACACCCGGGACCAGGCAAGATAACTCCTATGGAGGAATATTATCAGTCCTGCTTGGGTTGCATGGATCCCCTCTCTTGCAGTTCTTTATCATCCCCACATGTATCTGTGGTGCCCAGTGAGCTGCTGTTTAATCACAAAATATCCTCCTCTCTGTCGTCTTCATCCACTTCTTCTCTGCCTGTCTCCATCACCAACCACACCAGGGGGAAACTCGGGTATCGGTTCTTGCACTGGATTGTGGCTTCTCAATACGTCACTACATACACACGCTTTTTGTTTCTAAATGAAACCTGACTACAATATCTGTTTGTATTTTTCTTGCTCAATCTGGTCTCTGTTGCATGTGATTCTGCTCCAGCCTGGTGTGGACTGCTGCCCAAGACTCTCCGTTCACCGTCTCTCCCCCGTCATGTGACCTGGCTCCTCTAAAATCCACTTCATTCAGAGTGACCTATGACCCCAAGCAGCTCAATACTCTGCACGGAGCGCAACTTGAGTGCTTTGCATACTACAAGGTAGTGCTGTTCGATAATCTATAGACGAAATTCCATCACATCAAGTGATTCTGCCTTTCTCTTTCTCAATAAATGTCTCAAAAATCATTCAAACCACTGAAATCTCTCACCTGACTTTGTTGAAAGTTCAAATACAAAAGAACCACGGTATGATGCAACACATTTGGCTGTGACTATTGTCTTTCTTCCCTGGATGCTGCAGGACAATCGTCACATAGAGGGGCAGCTGCTGTGTCCACCCTGGTGTGTGACTGTCAGAGTCATAGGCCATTCCTTTCTGCCAGGCAAAGAGCATTTCATCCCATGCTGCTCCTTGCAGCCTCCTCAAGTGGTGAGATACAAGCAAGAGAAAGAACTCAAATGTTACAGCATTGCTGTCTCTCTCTCATTTAGCTATAGTTTTGCCATTCTCTCAGTAAACAGGAGAACATTAAGATGGTATTTATGCTGATTTCCCCAGAGTGTAAATATGATGAAGTCCTTGTCAAACTAAATATTTTCTTTGAAACCTGTGTAAAGGACATTGTATCACTGCCATACACAAATATGTAATACTCTGGTAACTGTAATATTTTGTTCTTTCAAGGCGTTTCCAGCCCTTAGTGTTCTTTCCTATCGGACAGTGCTCCTCCAGAATTCTGGAGAGCTGCCCCTCACTTTCTGTCTGGACCACAGCTCAAACCCTGCATTGGCAGAATCTGTGTCCGTAGTGCCGAGCTGTGGTCTGCTCCAGCCTGGGAAACACCAAATCCTCACCCTCAGAACAACGCCCACAGAAGACAGTCCCAAACAGGGATTCGGTTTACACCTTCGGCTCAACGCAGCTAAACACACGAAGGTACACACACTACACAGGACCACAGAGGACAAAAGCTGTAGCACTCACCACACTTTGCTCGCGGGCCATTTTATCTGTGCATCTGTTTCTGTGTCCTTCAGGAACTGACAGTTGTCAGTGTGGTGGAAAAGCTGTGCGTGTCTCTGGAAGGAGACAACAGTTTATATTTCCAGCCAACAGCTGTGGGCTCTCGGACGCGGCGCTCCCACCATATCAGGAACCTCAGCCGCCTACCTCTACGGTTGGTTTACATAGTGGTTGTTATTCCAGTGCTGTATTTCTGACGTTTTTTCACTGTATTGTTTGTAGTCTGGACTTATCCAATCATCATTCATCTTGTCTGCAGCTGGCTTTCTGTGATTGTCCTTTGTGATAGATTCCAATGGAGCATTCCAGAGCCAGACCAGGAGCTTATCTTTGTTGAACCAGATGCTGGCGAACTGCATCCCAATGAGAGCTCAGTGAGAGACTCAATCATGTTTATTTATGCAGAGACTGTGCTTTTGATGACATCTTTTAACAACTAATTTAATTTACCTTTTTTTTGTACTATTGTTTGTGACTGGTTGGCATTACAGGTCCAGATATGGTCCTTCAGCCCACTGGGAGAACAAACATACACACTCACGCCTACTCTCACCTTCTGGCCGATCCAGGCTCCTGGATGTAACAAGTCACACCGCACCCTTAACGTGGTGGGGTTGGGCTCTAAAGGATTCATCGAGGTGGGACTGTCATTGTGTGTCATTTTATGTGTATGTATATATACATGCATGTGTGTATGTACTTGAGCCGTATGTGAATTGTTTTGGGACAAAGCAGTGTATGCATCTTTGTTTCCCCCCCTCCCCCCCAGGCGGAGACAGCAGTTCTGGATGTGGGAGAGATTCTGGTTGGAAGTTGTCGGGCAATTCAGCTTCCTCTGGTGAACAACAGCCCGTGTTCTGTCTCCTATTGCCTCTCTGTACAGCAGATACTTTTGGATGCGGGTCTTACTTATGACCCCGGGACTGAGCCAAAAGGTATTATCTTTTTTTCGGAAATTGGTTCCCTATTGGTTTCTTTGAAAAGTAACTCCAACTATGTCAATGCTAAGTCAGTACCAGTGCTGTGACCTCACCTGCTCTAACTTAACTTAAAATGATGACCAACTGACTGCTGACCACAGCAGATACAGATGTATTTGGTCCAGTGTTGTAGACTAACATTGTCCTGTCTGGCCCTTTTAGCCCTGCAGCTGGACTGTGAGAGGGGAACCATCGTCTCACACTCCACTATGCTGCTCCGATCCACTATCAGACCACACAGACGAGCCCAGTACCTGTGGACCATCAGCTACCAGATGCTGAATGCCAGTGGTAGACAGAAAACACAAACACTACAAACCTGAATGTATTCTGCTATTTTGTTTTCTGTTACTGTTACTTACCACTCTTTCCCCTTTCTGTATCTGTCTCTCTCTCTATCTCTCCCCAGGATTTGTGTCATCCCCTCCTCATGCAGTGTGTGAAGTGCGAGCTAAAGGCGTGTTTCCCACCTTACAGGTGATCGATGTGTGCAGCGGTGGCAGTGTGGGCAGACTCAGCAAGGCGCACCTATGGGAACTCTTCTCACTGGACAGCCTTAATGAGCACATGCTGTCCAACCCTTCCCCTGCTGAACTCACTCACAGAACCCCTACCATGCACAGGTGAGGGGAAGAATATATTAATTTTCAATTAATATTGTTTGTAAAAAAGATACCAAGATAAATTATTTTATGAGAGTTGTGAGGTTTCATTGTTTCTTTATTACAAAAGGAAATTGAATAATACATGAATATTATATTTTGTCATTATGTCTTCTCTTCCTGCATCTAGTCTGAGTAGTTTTCCTTCAGTCTTCACCAAAGATATGTTGGATTTCAACTTCGGTGCCACTCCCATGAATTCAGAGCCCTCCATTTTTGTGTTGATGTTTCACAACCCGGGCTCCATCCCGGTAGACTGGTGAGCAAAAAGCAGAATGTAGAGATTACAGTCCATCCAAACTAAAGATAACTGCATTCAGCATTTTATTTATATTCGTCATACATCGCTCAATTTATGTACACAGTCCAGTGTCCTCTCCTATGGATTGTGAAGTACAGAGGAATTTGATTGGACCTTTTTCTACTTATCTCTGATTTAATGATTTTTGGCCTTCTCTTCAATATTAGGGCTTTCTTGTTTCCAGCGGACCAACAGATAGAGTTGGACTACTGGGCAGAGACTGGAGAGTTTAGCAGCACTGAACTGTACCAGATGAAGGTCAGGCACATCTTTTCTTTATTGAAAATACAGGAATCAACTGTAGATTTGATTACTTGACTTTCAAAAATAACCTTTCTGAAAACCATACTGACGCTAACCTCCCATATCTTCATATCAATGTCAGGTTCAAGACAACCACCTGTTCAGCATTTCTCCCCGTTCTGGCACTTTGCTCCCTGGCCAGCAGAGGGCAGTGCACTTCACCCACAGGTCAGATGTTATTGCAGGGAATAAAGCACAGAATAAGACATCAGACACTTGGCTAATATAGGCAAGGAGGAGAGTTATTTAAGAGCAGATAACACTAATAATATGATCCCACAATAATCTAAACTTTGTCCTTCACAGCCATGACTCTGCTGGGAAAGATCGGCTTCCTGTCATGCTCAAACTGTCTTATGGTAGAGAGACGTTGGTGAGGCAGAACTCCATATACATTTTCATGATCCTCATATTTATTCTTACTCTAACACAAAAAAAAAATCTAAATTCAAGTTACAATTGTTTTTCAGTTCAGCGGTAGTATTCCTGTTACCTAATATGTCACTAAGTGTGGTGAACTCTTTGAATTTGTTTGATATTTGATGTTAACTTCACGTGCGTGTGATGTGGTTCTGTGTGCAGCTGAACTTTCAGGGGTTGACGGTGGAGAGAGACAGGCCCTGTCTCCACGTTGCCTCCAAACAACATGTCTTCACCTCTGTCACTGTTGGGGACCGTACTCCGCCGAAGCAGGTGTGTTCAAGTTCTCCAACATAAAGCCTACTAAGAGTGGCCTATTCACAGTGAGCTGAAATGAATAACACTCTTATCGACAGTATAATATTTCATATATGAACTCGTATTCAGTGAAACAGCTTCCACAGATTTATCCTGTTATTTAGCTTGCAGCACTGAATTCCATCAGAAATCTCAACATAGTTGTGATCCACAAAACCCGGGTTGTTTTTCCTGCAGGTGTATGAACTGCACAATTGCGGTGCAGTGCCACTCCGTTATGAGGTGGACACGGCTGTGTTGTCACAGCTAAAGGTGGACAACTTTAACCATCCAGTGCTGGTCTGCTTCAATCCAGAGGGAGAGCTCCTACCTGGGAGGACGGCCATGCTGGAATGGATCTTCTCTCCACTGGAGCCTAAGATGTACCATGTAAGGATTGAGCCATGCAGCCTTCCTTCCTCTGCCCTCTTACCACTGTCCCTTCAAACCTTTTATACAACTGATTTGTGCGGTATGTATTGTAGGCACCATGCTTCTCTCCATTGTGCATGTTTTCTCTGAAGCATTGTAATCAATTTTATAGCAATTTAGAAATAAACTGGCACAGACAGATACAAACATCTATTCAGAGTTATGACACATGACACATACCATTTCTACCATTAGCTACTGTAAGTACCTAAATCCGAACCCTGTGATTTTGCGTCTGTCTTTGTACATCGCCAGATGGATATTCCTATCCATGTCCAGGATGGAGACTCCACACTGGTGAGGTTTGAAGGATGTGGGTTTGATTCTCTCACACTGGGCTCCACAAACCCATTTAACTGCAGCGATACTAAAGCACCTGAACCCCGTGTCAAGACAGTGTCCTTCCCGGGACAGGTGAAAGCAGTTTTTCTCTTTCCATATCATTTTTAAACTTTTATTCACTCTGCTGAATACCAGCAGTCTATTCCTAATAAGTCTTCTGCTTTTTGTGGCTGTATGCGTTCGTGTGTGTGTGTGTGTGTGTGTGTGTGTGTGTAGGTTGTAATTCTGTCGGAGGACAGTGTCTCTCTTGGCAACATCCCAGTCTGCTCACGATCTTCAAGAATTCTCTTCCTAACCAATGTGTCCCACACAGACTCTGTCCACTATAAATGGCTTAAGGAGAGCTATCAGCAGGTACAGGAAGGTGTACATGTAGCTTGTGAATAACATCTTATGTATGTGTCAATTTCACTATTTTGAAAAAGATACAAGCAGATCCTCCCGCTATGTGTCGGACTGTCTGTCATATACAGCACAAATATACCCATTTTGTACATCGGTGATTCTCACATACTTGTATGTGTGTTTTGTGTTGTCAGGTGGTGCAGATCCATCCAGAACAAGGAGGTCTGTGTCCAGGGGAGAGTGCCCTTTGTGCCCTTACCTTCACCTCTACTGACTACCCCACTTGTTATCAGCTAGATGTCATCTGCCAGGTACCACAGCAGCACTAGTGTGTATTTAAAGCTGCATTAAGTGGCATAAGGATGAATTTTAGTCTAATATTGAATGGCATTTTCATTCTGGTTTGGCAGACAATTGTTGGAAGTTAATCGTTTCTACAAAGTACGGACGGTACTCTCTCCTGTTCTCTCCTCCCCTCTCCAGGTTATCCTGGAAGCCTCACTGACTCGCTATCGTGATGCTTTGCAGCGATGGGAGGAAGAGAAAGAGAGACAGCGAGATGAATTCACTATCACAGATAAAAATCTTACAGAAACCCAAGGAGTTCTGATAGATAAGGTCCTCCTGCAAGTTCAAATTGATATCTTTGACAGCGATGTAACAGCCTTCTTCACCATATTCACCCTTTGTCTTGTTACAGGAGCCTGTAGCAGCTCCAGTAAATAAAGGGCCACCATTCAGGAAATACAAGGTGGTCTTCTTTACTGCAAATATAAGGCCTCTCTTGTGAAACAAATATGAAAGTAATCCAATTCAATTATAGACATGCAGTAAAACAAATGCCTGGCTTCATATCGAGTACGCCTCCTCTTTCTCTCCCCTCCAGACTCTTCCTCCTATCTGTCCCAGTGGTGGCTGTGAAACGGTGGGCGCGATATGTACTAAGATATTAAGAGCTGAGCGGCGGGCCCAGCGAGAAACCGCAAAGTCATTGAAACGCCTTGAACCCCCTCAACCTGCTCTGCTGCATCTCGGGGTTACAGCACACTCTCACGCCCTTCTGGAGTACTTTTCACACCGCCCTGACCAATTCAATGAGCACTATAGGTAAAGAATATAAACTTTACATGTTGCATCACAGGCACAAAGACAGACTGAGCTTTGATGCACACCACAGAAACATTTACATGTCTGCTGTCTCACTAAGATGCTTCCAGCCAGTCAAGCCCCAGCGACCTGAAGCCACTTCCTTTCCTGCTGGGCTGCCCTCAACCACTCATGGCCCTGAGAGAGACATCACCGTGCATGTACTCACCTCTCTGCTCAGGTAACACTTACACAGACACCCAGATACATCCAGTAAAGGCTTAGATTCAGACATCCACCCTGACCTATGTACCGGAGTGAAGTTACTTGTTTTTAGGATTAGCTTTTATGAAGATGGTTGAATTTACAGTTTAGAGAATTGTAGGAAATTGTGTAATTGTGTGTGTATCAATTAGTGTCTCTCCTTTTCCAGGGGCGTACTAGACGATCCAGCCTTCACACATTATCTAATTACTTTGCCGTCCAAGCCCATCCCCCACCGGCTTCAGGAAACTAGTTCCTCTCACTGCTCCTCATCTCCATCCTCCCTCCTTCCTCACCTTACACCCAAACCTCACATTCTGTTGAGTGGGACAGCGGAACAGAAAGAACAGCACAACGCAGTGGACAGTGAGGGAACTGCGGGACGTTCGAAAAACGAGCCCCGAACGCAAAACACGCCACACACAGAGCATGTGCCTGCTGACATGTGTGAGGATGTTTTGCTGAACACCCTCCAGAACCTGATGATGGAAGCTGTCAGAGGAGAGCTTGTCCTTACAGCGCTCCCCCGCACTGTTATCTTGCCACCTGTTTTTACCAGGTGAAGACAGACGCACACTTTCAGTAGCTCTGGCGGTTTAACCTCCCTCCTCTATTTGTTGCATTAGTCAGAGATAACATGTTACACCAAATGGCTAACATATTGTGTGTTCCACTAGAACCAGGAAGATGTCCAAAGCCATGGCGGAGAAGGAGAGAGAAATCTTGAGGAACGGAAAGGAACCAGCAGGGACTCACCATCTACCAAACATCCCAAAACTCACTCTCCCTCTGTTATTCATCCCAACTGCAAGCTCATGAGGAACTTCACAATGGAAATGATATAAAATGTTCCCACAGGTGACTTGGCCATGATATATTGTATACTACATTTTGTTTATCATTGTATGTCTGAATACAAAAAGCACGACCGTATATTTAAATGTTGTCTGTCTGACTTCATTCACCAATCTTATTGCACATAACCATTTACAGAACATTTGGATTGTAATTTTAGCATATCAGGTTTATTCCCATTCCTTTTCTTTCAAAAATACCTCAATTGCATTTTTTCACAGTGTCTGTCTGTCTAATCAAATCACTAGCAATAGCAGTCAATAACAATATTGGTGTTTATAATGTAGGGGAACTTCTTGACATGTAAATCTGTTTATAAATTTTTTCACAACAGATCTGAAATGACTTACACCCTGTACATGTTTGGTAAAATGTTCAATCAACTGAAGAATCAACCACCAGTTTAATAAAGACAATAGTTAAACTAAAATTGGTATATCTTCAAAGTCAAATAAAAGCATATTCCAAGTCACACATTTGTACATTTCAAACATCTTCTCCAGTAAATGAGGTCACATTATTTCCCTATCCCAAAGAAAATCAGGTCCCAACGGCACAAAAGGGCAAAGGACACAACACCACCACTCATATTTTATATTCACATTCATCACATAGTCAGTATTATGTCCATTTAAAATAATAAATCAACAGAATACAAAAATTGGGCATTATTATTTTCATAGGTTTTGCTCCTTTAAAATCAGTGGCAAACTCGGCGTAACAATAGCTATTAAAAATAAGGCTGAACAGAAGTTATCAGGTGCAAATATTAAATAAATAGTCACACAAATGGCCAATCATTCAGCTGCTGAGACGGCCATTTCATTCATCTTCATCTGTTTTTTTAAAAGTCTTTTTTTGCAAAACTGTTTTTCTTAACTTTGACACTCAAAACAAGGCAGGTTGGTTCATACAATTATAAACTATGATAAATGATGCCTCTGTTACTTGGTGTTTACTGTATGTGACTGAAATGTTGAAATCTGCTTTATTTACTTGTATCCTCACATTAGGATATGTATGAGCTGAATCTGAATATCACAGATAAAAGTATTTCCGTTTCTGCCATGCCATGTATCTTCTTCATATTGTACATAATTAGTGCGCAGCATCACTTAGCTAAACGTTCATGCAGTTCATTGGAAGGTTGATTGATTTGTATAGCAACATAAGCACCAACTAATAAAGGTCCGTGAGGAATCGTACATTGAACTTGTTGGGTAGCTAACATCAGTGACTGAACTTGAAGATGGTGGGAAAGATCTTGTTGTGAAGATATTGGACCTGATCCTCCTGAGTCCTCAGCTTCTCAAATTCAAAGTAAGGGATCTGGTAGAGAAAATGATGAGTTGTTAATGACTGCTATGTTTCTTACAGTGGAGCTCATTCAAAAAAAAAAAAAAAAAAACGTCTATAAATGTAAGTTAGATGAAACATATTGGAAAAAAATTTGTAGGTGCAAAACTGTGGTGCCTATATGCAATAATCTAGTTTCTAAAGCGTACCTGCACCACCTCATAGCCCATCCTGCGGAGGTGTCTCCTTTTAGTGGCTTCCTTCCCCAGCAGGTGCTGTGTGTTGCTACAGAAACGTTTTTCACCATCCAAGCATAGTGCCATCCTACACATGACCCAAGAAAATGGAGAAGTTCAAATTATGAGTTCAGAAAAGGCGCTAATGCTGCTCACTTTCATTTGGTTCAGAATGTAAATGATTGGCGTGTCGATCGGCTTGCATCCGCCAAACGCTCTGCAGAATGTGTGTCTCACCTCCTGTAAGTGTGATCCCACTGAGACAGAGGCAGAACGTATCCTTTCTCATCCAGGCACATCTCCACATCTGGAGAAAAGTGAACATGGAATACGTGAGGTTAGCCGTCGACTAAATGAGCCACACGGTTGATTCTTTCTGAATTTAGAGAGCATACACTGATGTTGTGTAACTTAACTTTTGGTTTCAATTGATATTTCCCCAGTTAGATCATATAGTTTTGTTTATTTACTACTGCTTACCTATTGTGTAGCCACTGGGAGTAAAGATTCTGGTGGAGTAAAACGTCCCCCCCAGCAGCTCTGTAAGCGGCCCTTTGACCTGTTTGTAGAGGAGACTCTCCATAGGTGTCTCAAAGGCCTGGTCCATCGAGGAAAACTTCTTCACATGGAGGAAGAAGGGCAGTCTGGGACCCTGATGAGGAACAAATCATGGAGAATTAATTACCGTTATCATTTATCTGACTCCACAATTTTTCGATGAAGACATTGCTTAATTTACTTGGCAACTACTGCAAGTACTGACACACAGTGAACTATTATACTACTTGAATAATAGTACTAAACGCACTGATCAAACTTAAAAAAAAAACCTCCCAAATGTATCAAGCTGTGTGACACTCACCCAGTAGTAAGTGCACTCTAATGAGGTGGAGAGATGGAGCTGTGTCAGCTGTCCCAGTGCGTTCTTGTCTAATGGCTCCCCTTGTGCTGTCGGACAGACAAGGACAGCTTACATCACAGACATTACATACATATTACACACACTGACATGTTGGACAGCCACATGCTGTGAGTGAATAGCTTCTGAATGACAGCTTTTCTTTGACAAACAGTTAAAATGATGAGAAATACTCTACATGTAGAGTGACAGCAGCATGTGAAATGAGTGGCATGACAATCACATATACATTACACAATCCAATGCAACTGCTCTGTCATTAAGTATACTTTAATGAAGCCGACGATGTGTGCTATGTTTTGGGAGGAAGCAGCCTTTTGCTTACCTTGCAGCCTCTGTAGGAAGTAGGGGCTGAAGACTTTGGACACGTAGTTGACTGGGAAGCGTTCCAGGTGGATGCAGGCGTGCAACACCTCTATCAGGGAGCGAGGCTGGAACTGTGAAAACCTTTCTGACAAAATGCTCTCCAGCTTTTTAAACATCTCACCGGAGCACTGAGGAATAAAGAAGACGTCGTGTAGAACAGAGTATTTGTTTGCAGACGCATTATCTTCCAACAGTCAAATATGCTTTACACGTTGCTCTTTCCATTTCATAGTCATTTGATTTAGAAAACAGTATTGCAACATTATTAATATTCCTCACCTGTGGCAGATAGTTGAGTCTCCCCATGGCGACAATCTGTTTGGCAATCTGAAGGGTGCCGTGCCTCTCACCATGGCATACAAAGTTCTCAGCCACAGCCTCGAAGATTGGCTCAGAGCGGCACCTCATCTGCAGACAGTACTCCATGACGGTGCTGATCAGCTCCGGATCACACTTTCCCAGCCTCCCTGACACACACAGCACAGTACTTCAGGATTAACATCATGCATGATCCATGTACACCAACGTCCACGTTTCCCTAAGACTGTGTGAGGAACTGAAACCACACCTGGCAGGTGTTTCTCCATAGCAGACAGGAGCTCTTCATCATGATGTCCCAGGGTCATCAGCGCAGTGAGCACCTTGATAACTTCATCATCACTAAAAGCTTTTAAGACCCGTGATGCTCTGTGTCTCAGCCTCAGCACCAGGGAAATGGCCTGTGAAACAAAGCTCAGTATTATAATCCCTAACTGTTCATTGTAAAGACACCAATTACAGGGTGGCACTTCAAGAGAAAAGAAAAACATTCAGGTTCCCTTCAGAGACCTGCAGCAAAGAGCCAAACATATAGGTGTGAGATGTTCATACATGTCTAAATCAATGAGGAGCTGAGAAGTGGCTGCTCTACCCACCTCTCTCTGCTGCAACTTCAACAAGGACTGCAGTATATCGCTGACTTGACTGGCTTTCAGCCGGTGGACCAGCCTCTGTGTGCGTCTGTGCAAAGTGGACAGCATAAGTTTCTGCCGCAGGCTGGCAGGATCGTGACACAGAGCCAGCAGGGAGTAGGTCCTGGCAGCCTCGCTGGGAGACACAACATCCTCTTCTACAGCAGCACACAGAGAGTCCAGGACCTCTGTCACCACGGCTGACTGGCGGCCTTCCAGGGCGTACGCCACCTCACCCAGGTGGCAGAGCTGTGACACCAAGATGTCCCTGCTGGAGAGGACCTCCAGACACTCATTTATCAGTCTGACGACTAGAGGGCTGTGGGCCTTCAGGCCAAATTCAACACATGCTCCGAGTAAAGTGGCCAGTCCATCTGCCCTGTCGTTGCTGGGGAAGTCTGCCAGACTGGAGCACAGCTCAGGGATCACCTCCCCTTCAATCAGAGTCTGGATGTTGACTAGTGCGGCTGCATTGCTCTGTGGTATGGTGTATGGGACGTATGGAGATAGGTGTGTTGCTTGTCTTGCAGCCGTTTTAGGGGGCATGCGTCTGCCAAATTGGTACACGTTCAGTTCATCCTCAGTTCTCCCTGGTATGGGCACCAGGGCGGGGAGAGGTGATGCAATCACCTGCTGGACCGCTGCTTTGGTAACCTGCGTACTGTGAAAAGTGCGCACACCGGTTACGCACGGTTGTTGCGCAACAACAGTTTTGCTGGCAAAATCCACATCGGAACATCTGCCCACTGGACTGCACAGATTAAGACCCCGATTGAGAGGGAAACAGGCTGAGGTGTGCTGACACGCCGCTCTGACAGACGATGAGAAACAGGCGATGGACTTCATTGTTGTCGAAGTGTTCGTGATAAACCCCGCTTCCTGTCTCAGAACACAGTCAAGAAAAGAAAAGTCGCTGTCAGTGCATTTCCCTGCTTTCACACACAGGGCTTGTGTTTGTTAAGTCAAGAGAAACATAAGAGAAGTCAACACATTGCAAGGAAGCAGTTACACGAGCCAACTTTAAAATGAAAGTAGCGGATTTGCCCATGGCTTCTTAAATCATGTTACACGTATAATTTAAATTTACATATAATATCTGCGGCAAAAAAAAACTCAAACCCTGTCTTTCAGATTATAAACGACTTACCTTCAGCGAGACAGGAGTACCATGAAGAGGGGCTGCAACATATTACAAAACTCGCCTTCAGGGTTTGGTATTAGCTTGTGTAAGATTACATGTGTTTACACGTGCTGCCCCTCTGAGGGCAAACTGTAAACTGCAGGCTGGCTGCTTTACGTGCGCTCACGTGCCCTACGATTGGCCGAGCCGTGCCGCTCCGGATCCGAAGCAAGCGGCGGGGAGGTGTGGAGGCGGAGGGGGCCTGCAGGAAACCCAGTTGCGGCCTAATATTATCTTAATAAGCAGCACCGAATCGTTCATTTCATAATTTAGATGAAAACAAAATTTAAATTAAATTAAATCTCATGTCTTGATCATTTGGAGTTCATGAATATGTTTCAACACACTGTAATACAGAATGAATATATAATCCATTAATAATTGCATGCAGGTTTCACAGTTCCAAATAAGGCACCAGTCTGCAGTTGTGTAATAAATTGTCAACAAATGAATTTTTATCAATATTTTCCACTGTTTTTTTCAAAAGACAAGCTATCCATTAGAGTCTTATGAATTAAGGAGTTTAAAAGACTTGTGCTGTGCTGAATGCTAAACATCTCCCAGAGGGATTTTACACAACAAAGCAACTCACAAGTTGTTCTTAATAATAACTGATCTATAAAGCATTAGCAAACTATTGCATTGATGAGGATGAACATTGATAAATCATTGATATTTATTTGTGTGAACTCACAGTATCATTAGAATAACACATTCATAATATTTCTAAACTCAGTTTTATACAGTTGTGTTGCTATATTGAAAGTTGTGTCAGCAAACTTGATGAACATCATCTTCCTTCGTTGTCCTGCAGGCAGGGCCGATTGCTTCTAACAATTCCCACAAGATGGTGCTACATACAAACAAACTGATTTTCCTCATAGGTCACTTTGACTCAAGACACAGCTGAGCTTAATTTATCCACATTTAAACGAGAGAACAGGCCGATATTGGGTAAGTTGCACAGCAGAGAACTCGCATTAAACACGTGTACATCATAATGGAGTCACACAAAGCTGGAAATAGACTTTCTATCATTCAACAAACAAATGACAACATTTTAACATTGTATTCCCTAGCCCTAGCTCTAATATGCACGTGTGTGAGAAAGCAGTTGAAATGCAGAATTGTCTTTTATTCAGCAATGCTTGCAGATCACATGTTTGGGTTGCATGTGTTTTCCTTCTGGTAAATATTGAGGTTTTAGGCTACCTGTTTTTGTGATGACCATTGATTGTGATACTGGAGTTTAAGAAGGTCAATACCGGAATGTGCTTCTGTTAAAAAAGCTATGCGTCTGTGTTGAGTGCTCTGTGTTTGTGTGTGGCTGGCGAGACACAGAGCAGCGTATGAAGGCTGATCCGAAAGTCATCTGCACCCCATATCTCCAAAACAATCTGTGTGTATGTGTGTGTGTGTGTGTTACCCATCTGGCTGGATCCCCTTCTATCTCTTTGCAACACCACAAGCCCTCTGGACACGCGTTGGACAAAGAAGAAAGAGTAAAAAGACCCAGAGCTTTCAAATGGTGAGCAGGGCAGACAGATAAGATCTGTTATAATAAAGTTACTGTGCTGCCGGTAATGCTGATGAATCACACTGAACACTCACTCTGGCTATGTGTCCATGTGTGTGTTTGTGTGTGTAGTGTGAGGGAAGTCGAAGAGTGTGTACAAATTGAGTCAGTTTTCATTTCTTAGAAATACATTTGCTCTGCTGCTGTGCCACTTTTAAACAATTTCTTCAGCCCAAAAGTATATCATAAAAGAACTCACTGAGTACCCATCTTGTTGTGACAAAAATACACCTCTGTGTACACTATTAAAGCTAGAACTAGAATGTATTTTTTTAATTTTCTATTTACAATGTGAACTAAGAAAGTGAAAGCTTTTCCGTCCCATGTTATTAATTTGGCTTTCCTTTTATAGATCTGCCTTTACAGCAATAAAATAATCCCCTGAAACGAGGTGACAAGTTATTTATAAAGCAATAAAACCGGGCTAACTTGAGAGCTAAGCACAGACACCACGTAGTTAAGTGTTTTTTCCCTCTACTAATGTGGCACCATTGGAACAGATTCTGCCAGAGATCACTTGAACAATTCAGATTCCTCTGACAAATCAAGTGACCTTACTGAGAACGGATCAGTACCTGGTTCATTTGGAAAATTCGGGTTTCACTCCTTACTGTCGCCCCTCTGCAGAGTTACAACTCATTCTTCCAGATGGTCAGCTGGTTGTGTTGTTTCGGATCCAAATAATGTGTGTCCAATTACAAAAGGGTCACTGAGCTGACACTGGCCCAGCCCTATGAGAGAGAAAAAGCAGGATATATCTGAATCACACCAAATTATGTTGCTTTTGTTGACAGATTTTAACCATTCTCAGGGAGTCACGAACGTTAGAACAGGATTTACTTTCATTCCTTGCTGTAACAAGACGATAATTTAGCATAACTTTAGTTCCTTCCACTTCGAAAACAGTCTTTCTAGACATGTAAAATCATGTGGTAGCGGGAGGTATCAATATTTTATACTACAACTTCTGTCACACTTTCAGTAATGTATGTGTGTGTGTGTGTGTGTGCCAGTTATGAAGGAATTTCATGAACATAGCATTCTCCTGGGGATTCCAGGGATGACTGTGGCTTGTTTTTAAAAGGTTAGGACCGTCATGTGTTTCTGATTTAGATTTAATTCAAGTTGTCACATAAAATATTAGCTCCGATGGGATTTTTTTATTTTTTTTAAAATCTATTTTTGAGCATAACCGCCCGGGAATGTGTTTTGTGGTCTTTGCAGGGCGGGCGAGGCATTTTTTCTATGGAAACAAAAGGGCACACGTGTGGTACAGAAAAAGAAAGACAGGAAAAGAGAAGGAGCGTGAAAGAGGATCACATCCAGAGATAGGTGGTGCATTCTGGCAGACAGTAGGAATCCATTTCACGCCCAGATGGAAGCAGTGTGAGAGGGGGAATGTGTGTGTAGCCGTATGATAGGTGTGGCAGGACAGGGGTTAGGCCTGTTAGCTTTTCCTAGGCGGAGGAGGGAGGGAGGGAACCCTTCATAACCCGGACCAATGCTCTTTCATTTCAATCAGTGACAGACCCCAGGGGAAACCAGAAGTTATTGCAACTCGTTTTTTTTCTGTACAGATGTACCTTCTCATATGAGATCGTCCAAACTCAGTACTCAGTAATACAGTATTCCAGTACTGTGTGTAACAGTATTTTATAATGATCCACTGTGACTTGTGTGAAATGAAAGTGGAAGTTCTGCTGTGCAGGAGGGTTCAGTATCTGGTTAGGTCCTATATTCACTGTGAGTTTTGGTAAACATGACTAAGAGTCCATGCTGTACTGAAGCACAGAAATGCTTTGAGCTATATGCTAACGCTAGCAGGGCAACATGCTCACAATGAGAATTCTTACATGGCAGGTATTTACTGTGTTGACCATCTCAGTTTAGCATGTCAGCTGTATTATCCAGGGCATTGATGAAACTACATGCTTACAATTTTATGAAATGCTAGCTATGAAACAAACCCACCTATACTGTACTGAAACAGAAAGGAGTCTGCACTTGACAGGGACTGTGATTGTGTGACATTGTATCAGAGTGAACCAGCGTAAAACTAAATACAATAAATGCGTTTGACTTAACATGCCCATATGCAAACTGTTGGAGTTTATGGAGGCAAAAGGAAACATTAAGAGTCTATTAAAAAGGTCTGACGCATAGGGCATCATTCTTCTCTTTCTCTAAAACACATTATCATGTATTTCACTCCTGTCATTCAGCTCTTCTTCTGCTACCAAACATCTTACAGAACAAAAACAGTGTTATAAGTTAAATGTAATGATTAAAAAATGCACTGTTGGCAGCTCCTAGTGAAGCTCCCGTATCTATCAGGGCGTTCTCCTTTACAACACTGAACTAAGTCCCTGCAGATGTATTTTACATCCTAGAAGGACACGTCACATATCCCCACTCTGAGCTACGATTAAGACAAAACAGTCAGGGAATAAACAACTAAGGGGACTTCAGTTGATCACAAAACTGTTTAAGGTCAACATGGTATCATGGGAAGGTATAGGGAGGGTAGAGAGACACTTAAACCAGAGTAAACTCTGGTTCCAGCTCCTGTGTTGGCTAGCATTTGCCCTGCTGAAGTGTCTTTGAGCAGGACACTGAATCTGTTGCGGAACTAACAGGCAAAGAGAAGCGAGAGAAACACTTAATGGACCACACTGGATGGTTTAAGGTCATAAACCGCAAATCGCTTACACTTCTCTGCCAAATCAAATCGTATTTGGCTGATTTAGTGCTGAGCAGTGACTTGGTCTTAACTCAATTTATTATTAAAACTGGAATGAAATTGGTGATTCAACACACTGAACTTTTTCTGATTTGTAATTACGTGGCAATGCAGTTGCAAGCTCAGGCTAGAGGAGTCACCCGCATTCAACCGCATGGGTGCATTCAAGGAAACTGCAACTCCAACAGCTGTTGGAGTTCCATCCCTATCATGCAAAACCTATATATGCACATCTTTGTCTTTTAATTACCGGAAAAAAGAGCTTGTAAGTGAAATGCTCTTTGCTTTCAATACTGCAGTATACACAATATACAATGTCAAAATATTATAACACGGTTAGTGGTCACTTTGAGGAGATCAGTGCAGCTAGTGACTGTGTGGTGGTGAAGTATGAAGCTGCACACGGACAAGAATTTGAACAATACACATAACGTACAATAGGAATCTACTGTATGTGGGATGATGGCCATCTGGTTAGGGGCTGTGCAGTGTCTCCTCCCAGCAGGCAACTAAAGCTGTGAGCCAAGACCCCAGGCCCAACACCCTGCCGGACTTTGAAATCAGATCTTTATTGTCCATAAAGCCTCAGCCAAGTATGAAGAATCAGCCCTCCCTAACAAAACACAAGATGAGAGAAAACTTGGGGGTGAGTGAGACACAGACAGGGAAATGGAGAAAGAAATTGGGGAAGAAAGAGAGGGTAAGGTGGTTGAGAAAGGAGAGAGAACAGCCAGTACATATCATAGAACAATGCTCATGCTCACAACTATGCCACAGTTATTTATAGGTCATTGAGAGATAACTCAATTTTCATAACTTTCTAATTTTGTTTCGGGTGGTGCCAGTTCACATATCAATACAGCACTCTCCACTGGGGTCAGATTTCTCTGCTAAAACATCAGAGTATATTCTATTTTAGCCCCCGTGTGCTAATTATTCACCTTGTTTTGACCACATATGAAGTGAGATATGAAAGGGAGGGAAACAGGGCAGTGGAGATAGAGATAACAAGAGAAAGAGAATGCATAAAAGGTCAACTAAACGATGTTATAAATGAAGTTTAAGAGAGCGAAGACACACCTGGAGGAATAGCAGATAAATCACTTTTGAAGAGGTTGTAGAAACTAGAAAGTGATCAAAGTGAGCTTTGCTCAAGGAGTCCCTGAAATATCCCGTGTACGAGAACGGGTCGGAAGTGAAGTCACAGTGACCTTGACCTTTCACCTTTCACCTTAGACCACCAACATCTACTCAGTTCCTCCTCGAGTCCAGGTGGACGGGGATGCCAAATTTGAAGACTGACAGCGCGAAAAGAGAAAGCCTCTGGCCACGGCTGTCACCAGCACGGAAGCCTAAAAAAGTGTTTGTTCTGAGACCAAAGCTGCACATCAATGAGCTACAGGTGACAGTATCATATATGAATTTGGTGAAGACGTGAGGTGCAGCAGAGGTATACACAGAATGCGTCTTGTCTCAAAAAGCCGGTTTTGTTAGCTGTTCAAATATGTTGAATCAAACTATACCATCATCTTATTAATGCAACAAATCCTGCAAATGCAATATTGCCATAAAGGGTTTTTCTCACTGATTTGCAGCACTACTTTGCAATGGCTTAACATTACCAGAGATACCTACGCTACCTTGGTAAAAACAGAACTGTAGAGGGTTGTACAGGCTGTAAACCACTCTGAGAGTGGTATACATAAAATTGATTAAAAACATTTTAGTTCAGGAAAAATCAACAAGCTGCAGTTTGTGGGTAGGTTTTATGTTGCTTTCGTATGATGTGGATATCATTGTCATTTTCCAACTTAAAGCAAGATTAAGATTTTTCCTGGCCCCTCAACGACAGAACACCACACAAACTATTATAGCTAATTTTACTCTGTGGCCTCATTAAGATTTTTTGGCTACCTTGTTAGCATACCATTGCATATCAAGCAGAAACTGTGTTCACCAGCTAGTTGCTAACACTGTCTGCCCGCTGTTTGGCGCTGGGCATGTCGTGTACTGTGCGTTTATCAGAGCTTTTTTGATGAAAACAGCTGCCTGGAACTGGACACGCAGTTGAAGAAAACTGCATGTAGAGTTAAAGGGAAAAGCAGAGCTCAGTGGTCTGTGGGTTCGGCACAATGAGTAAACTCTCTCTAATTGCACAAAGTCATTTGATCCATTGTTAATATAAAAATAATTATTGGCAATCTGTGGATATTTCTGCTTCTGAAATGGTCTGCATTCCATTTGGTATACGGCACAGAAGTGTCTGGAAAGCAACTTCATGTCAGTCAAAGCATATCATTCAAGGTAACTGAGCACAAATTGCAGGACCATGCACATAATGTGTAACCTCCACACGAGGTCTAACAAACAGCAGGAAGCAATCACCATCTTGATGTGAACACTGAACAAGTCATAAACCTCCCAATCACTACCTTCCACCTGACATAATCTGAATGCTGCATGAAGAGCTCACTGAAAAACATCTTTGATATAACTCTGTATATCAGAGAGACATGCACATTTTAAAAGACCAGTGCCCACATGTGTGTGTCCATAATGAAAGTCAAAATCTGAGGCAATGAAGTGCTCAGCCATTTTACGGTCTGCAGGCAGTTTGTCCAAGAGTCCTTGTCTGGTTTCACAGACACTTCAGTCTTATTAAGAGTCCCGTATGGACAGGCAACTTGCTGTTAATATTATGGGATCAAATATACATTATGTCCTCATCAATGCTCATCTTTATTGCAATAAATGTAAAGAAATATATGTTGCATATATAATGATACTTACAGGCCTTGGAATGAACACCCAACACACTGCCAAATGCAGGTAAAAGTTAACTGGGACAGTGAAAAACTTGAAAGTTATTGAATCTAACTGTGATACACCTAATAAGGATGAACTGCAAACATCTGCACTCAACAGTAGGTGCATTACACTATATGATACTTTGACCAATAGAAAGCATGCAATTAAATGTGACAAATGACCTCAAGCGAGCTTGATGTTCATGCTGCAGGGAAATAAATGGGAACAATTAATGTCTGATAGAAAGTTAAGGAAAAAGCATCAGAAGTCCTGAAAAGCTACGTGTGCTTTGGTCAGCAGCAATGTGAAGTATACATGATCGAAATGGACCAAATCAAGCAAAAACTCCATTGTGTTTTCAATGGACTTGTTTCAAGTTGTTTCAACCCATGCATATGGCACTGACACGCAATGGATGAAAAGTTTGAATAAATAAATGAAACCTGCCACTACGGGTCGGACTCCATATTTTGCAGACTATGGGCAAAAATCAGAGTTAAATGTGACTTCATTCTATTTCTTACACTTGGAAAGTTTTTCTCAAAATTCAGAAGTCGACACTTTTAATTGTCAGCCTTCAGCCAGAGTTACAGGCAAGGTTATGGTTTGTGCATAAGCGAATGGGACCGAGGCCCTTTTGAGAGACAGAGACTGGCGGAGTCAGCCTTGTGTTACACTTGTGATTGATTGCATCACTGCAGTAGAACCAAGTCGGGTATCAGGGCTTTGGGTGACTACAGTACAGTGGCGTTGGATTTCAATGGATATGCCCTTGGCTAGATAGGTGATAATACTACAGAGTCCACACACACACACACACACACACGCACGCGCACACACACACACACACACGCACACACACACACACATTTAGGAATGCAGAACATACAAAACAATTCTTCTTGAGGGCAACTGATTCCATTTGGCACCTTTTGTGTAAAATAAGGTTATGTGGAACAGCAGTTTCTCTTTCTGACCACTGTGATATAGTGTGATCTTCGCGCTTTTAGCCAAAGAAAAGACACCCACTCAGATGACTTCAGAACGTGCCAGTCTGTTGGCACAGATATCAGAACGGTACCACCACACCTGTGCTGACATCACCTCATTCCATGAGCTCTGATTTCTGGTCCACTGTAAACATACTGTATGACAGGTCTCTCTCTCTCTCTCTCTCTCTCTCTCTCTCTCTCTCTCTCTCTCTCAGTGTGTGTGTGTGTGTTTACCCTCTCTCTGCTCTCAGCCGGGTCCTCCTGAAACTAATTGCAGTTTCTTTCTCTCTCCCTCTCTGAGTGACAGCGAGGATTTCGCTTCGCCCGGAGCGACGTCACACCAAGGTGGAAGAGGACGAGCGCATTTTTCCTTCCTTTATCATCCAAAGAAAACACATCGACAGACTGAGGCACACAGACGCCTCTACCTGCAGCCAGCCGGTGCGCACCGAAAATCACTTCCCCAAAATCCATCAGTGCGTCAGTTCTATGCGCGCAGAGACGAGACGAGCAACGTCCAGCAGCACCTGAAAATCCAACCTTTTTTTTTTTAAATTAATTATAAAAAACAGCGGTGCTATTCTTCTTCTCAAATTCCTTTCATTGTTTTAAATATCGCACGAAGAGTGGCGAGACTCCCTGTGTCCTCACAACCACCGCGCGCTGTTTCGCAGTCAGAGAGGACTTGTCTGCTTGGAGTCACTTCTCGTTCCTCCTCGGACCGTTTTGTAAGCATGCGATGTGCCGCGACAGATAGAGCAGAACGACAATGAAGAGGTTAACCACACCTTTGAGAGCGGACATCTCTCCAGTAGCCTCTTGACCAACTTTGTTGCGCATTAAGATGCGCCCCACAGAAGAGGAGTTGGATGAGGAACTTTTTGCGTGAGTTTTTGCTACCTTCAGAAAACAGGTACCTCCTATGTATTTAAGAAATAATCCAACTCGCTGTTGGCTGAGCTCGTCGCTAATTTAAATTTTGCTGGGGAAACTTGAGGATTTGCTGCGTTCAACATGACGGTTCGTCTATCACGGATCCAACTGGCCCTGTTCTTTATCTTGCTCTGTCCGGTCAATATCATCGGACTCTGGTGGTAAGTGCTCTGAATTTACCACGTGTTTTATGTTAATCTGTCTTGTGTCAGCCTGGCCTTTAAATCATCTCACCTGACTTAGTTATATTTGATTTCCGCGCACAAACATGGGGCATATAATTATGTTGAACTATATTTATCCGCAGCACCATCACTCAACATTAGCCTACCGGCTTTTCACCTAAATACTCCAGTAGTCGTCTGCGTTTCGAATGGGGTCTGGTCCAAAGACAAATATAAACACGAAATTCAAGGCTGCAATAGCAGGATGTACGTAAAAAACACAATAAAGATAATTCATAAAAATGGACAAAATAAGCAGATAGATCAGTAATGATAAAAGAATGCATGTAATAGTGTTTTTGAAACATCAATACTTCACTTCAGATATTTACACTTCATATTTTTCTGTTTTTCTTTAATACCAAAATAAACAAAGCAAAACTTGTATATGTGCTAATAACAAAGAGATCATGAAACCCTCAAATCAAAGTATGTTTCAATGAGACAAATATAGGTCCCCAGCATGCAGGACAAAGAGACACAGGGTGGTGAGAGAGGCGTCTGCTGTGCATTGCCTGCAGTAATACATGGAGGAGAGAGGACAGGGAGATTGGTGGAGGTAGTGTGTGTTTGTATGTGTGTGTGTGTGTGTGTGTGTGTAGTGGGGGTTCAGAGTCAGGAATGTCAGGTGGCCCTCTAGGCGCAGTGGATATGTCATCATAAAACAATCCATACAGGCTCAGGTCCGCAAAGTGTGTGACAGTCGGACAGACAGACAGACAGAGAGACAGACAGAGAGACCGTATAGATCTGCTGATAACATGTTTTCTATCCATTTGGGTCTGTCTGTATACTTTCACTGTCTTGTATGCACTATTTCATTTGGCAACATCCAATATTTCTGTCTGTCTTTCACTCTCTCTCTTTTACACACACACACACACACACACACACACACACACACACACACACTCGTGCAAAGCAGCAGTGTTTGAATGTGAAGCTTTGTTTTTTTTTTTACCCAGCGAATCCTCCCACTGTTCATTCACAGCCCAGTCAAGGTCAGTGTGTGTTGTAGTGTCACAGGTGCTGTGTAAGTCCACTGAATGTCCTTGTGTGACTGGCAGATGGACTGGCAGCATCAGAGGCAGTGTGTCTTCACGTGCAATCATTATAGATGTGAAGTAAACACAAGTAACCTGTGAGGATTTATTAGAAATACAGAGAATTGCCAATGTTAGGACAACTGAGTTTGGATATGGAATCAAAAAGAAATGACCTGCTCCACATTACCCTGGTGAAATTATTGATTTGATGTAAGGACCCTTAGTCCTGTTGTTAATGTGGAGTTAACATTGCATACTGACAGACCATAAGGTGGACATGGATTCAAGCTCTCCTTTCATGTTATCTTCTGGGGTGTCACGGAATAAGAAAATGCAGTTTACAAGACGTGCATTCACACTTGTGTCCTCAAGATGTGAAGAAATATGACAGACACAGTCTGGTTTCTCTGCTGAGTCTCAGCCGGCTAAACCTCTGTTCTGTCCACCCCATGCTCTCCATCGTTAGTGTTTGTGTGTCTTCATAATAATTGGTTCTCTTTTAAATAGTATTCTGTTGTATTCAAACTGTACAAAGCAATTCGGTCTTGGCTCAAAAAATGCTACCGTGTTACGTCACAATTCATGAATCTGAATTTGTGAGAAACTCAGATTAAGTAGCTGTTGTGTTAAACTATATTCAATCTCTGTAATTTTCATGTCAGCGTTCTAGTGGCAGCACACTCTTCAGAACTCAGGAGATTCATTTTAAATAAAACTCTAGTGGATTAGGGGAATCAACACTGAGAAATCTGCTACTTCCTTTTTATCCCCACTGACATACGTTGTCATCTTCTTTCACTCACTCACTTGTTCGCTGGCGGACTTGCACACTCACACAGACACACATGTGAATGCATTCAGGCACAGATTCACACACTCATACGCACACACCTACACACTTACACACACAGTGGCCGGCTGTGGAGCAGCTAGGGTGAAGCCACACCTGTGGGTTGCTCCCCAGTCTGCCAGGACAATGATGCTCTCTGTTGAAAGCTGCTGGACATACCATCATACATCTCTCATTCTCTGTCTCATGCTCGCTCCTCTTCAATCTCTCTGCATGTCTTTTGCCATACTTGTCTATGGAAGGAAAATACCTATCATGCAGATAGGTTGTTGCTGAGGGAAAAGAGAGCGAGAGCTGCAGTGATGGACAGAGACTGAGAGAGATGAAATGCGGGGAGATAGCTGTCCTTTCAGAGCCTCTGCTGATTAGAGCGCTCTAATCATTTGGCCAGAGAGCAGAGCTCAGAGACAAAGTGAGGAATGTCTTTGCTCTCTTATACTGGTTTAGACTGCAGTGCTTAGCAGGGCCAACTTTGCTCTATGTGTGTGTGTGTGTCACAGCCCCACTTTGGCCGGCAGCCCACCTGCAGCGTGCCACAGGCCTACAGGTGGACACACACACACACTGCATTTGTGTGTGTGTGCGCGTGTGTGTTTCAGCTTTCTCCTTTGTGTGTTTATGTGTGTGTCACTCCAAATACATCTCCAACCAGTGGATCCTGGTTAATCTGTTTAACATGCACACAGAGATGTACAAATGCACTCATTCAGTCAGTTATGGGAGAATATATGCATATACACACACACACACACACACACACACACGCACACACACACACAAACACATGGCTCGATAGTCAGAACTGCCATGATCACCAGAGGAGAGTTTCATTGTAACAGATCTTATCTTGTCCACTCCACTCCTGGTCTGAAAAGCTAGATGTCTAATCAGGACCAGGGAGATGGGTACAGATAAAGATAATGACGATGTGGGTTTGGCATCAAGGAGAGAACTGAATTAAATGTGTTTATGTGTGTGTGTGTGTGTGTGTGTGTGTCTGCACTTTTGAGCATGCATGCATTTCTGTGGGCATGAATACTTTAAATATGTTCCAGTGTCAGAAATATATATAGGGCAGAGGGTATAAATGGTCCACGAAATGTCAAAATGCATCTACAATTTACCAAGATTGGCAAAAAACTGTTCACAGTTTTGGGGTTGGCAGAAGCCAGTTTGAAATGTAAATGTAACATTGAAAGATAACGTTAAGGCGACATCAGCTAAGCACAGGTTTTGATGTCTGTTGGATGTCTGTATAAAATAGAAGTTGCTACTGTGTGCAGTTTTGAGTCCTGTCTGGTTCTTCTCCATGCTACTGTTTTACATTACTCATCTTACAGTTTTCTGATCTGCTCTTACTTGTCGTAGTGCCTGAAATGGTGAACACGCCAAATTATAGCTTCGAATTGAACAACAGAAAAACAGATGTCTCATCGGAAAACTTTTTTTCATGGCATAACTTGTAGAACACAACATGTTTGCCAATGTGTGTGGTCTCACATATCCATAAGTGTTGACCATATTTGTTAAAGACTCTCATGATGATGCAGTAAATGTCATATTATTGGCACAATTATACAGTAAGCAAAGCTACAGGTGGCATCCCCTGCAGTGGTTAGCTCAGACACCAATTTTACCAATGTTGGTGTACCATTAATACTAAATTTGTCTTAACCAATATAGCACCAGCTCTGCTTTCTATATTTCATCGATATTGCTGAGTCCCACAAACATCCATGCACCTTTCCAACCTCTACTTTTCATCTGAATATATTCATTCTTGGACAATTTGTACTTTTTGGCTGTCTTTGCTGTTGGGTGTGTCACTGTACCAAGTTGTAACAACAGAACAAACTTGTGAATGTTTTTCTTATGTAAAATTGGTTTGTTGTATGTTGTTGTATGTTGTTGGTTTCCCCTTTGGTCACAATGTATTGCTGCTATTTAAATTGGGTGCATTACATTTCATGAGTGCTGAAACATTTCATTGAGACAAATTCCATTGTTCTTGATCTTGTTTTTACGTCAGCAAAAAACAACATGATCAGACATGTCTGAAAGTGATTGACGTGTCCCAGACTGCAGGGTCAGAAAAACAAGTGAGCAATTATTGAGGGCACACAGACTGTCGGGACGCTGGCGAGGTGCTGAATTTGTTGCCATCCATTTTCAATCTTGTGTTTTTGGGACGCCAGACAAATTTAACACAGTGTTTTAATTTTCCTCGCTGTTTCTTGATAATTCTATCAGTGCTTTATCTCTTTGTATCTCATTCTTATCTTACACTGAACCCCCACCATCTCTTTCCTTCTCTACACACCCCCTCTTTAGCTGTCTCTCGTTGACCCTTTTTCTTATTCTCTCTCACACTGGCGTCTCAGACTAGCGCTTGTCGTGACTGTCTTCATCTCCAGCATACTTGAGGGATTAAGGAGGGATGAAATTCACTCATTCGTGGGCGGAGTGAAAAAAAAGAAGGGCCCCGTACAGTACAGCACTTTATCTATGGTGCCGTGAGATCCTTAATGAAACCTGAGGTCGCTTTGAGCACCGATGTTTAATCTCTTTCTGACGCATCTCTGGGCTCAGAACACACTGAATAAGGCTTTTATTTCTGTGAAACCTCAGGGGTATTTTGTTCCCAGTTGTCAGCCACAATATGAAAAACAAACAAATGTAAAAACTTATCACTGATATGATCTTATTTAGATTGTTCAAGCACAACAGTTTGGATTGGATTACTTATTAACATGTCAAAGGTGTTAGCAGCATGGATAGACCCGCTATCGCTCAATGTTTGATATGTGTATTTTTGTCGCTTTGTCTTGTTTCCCCCCCCCCCCTGTCTCTGTCTTGGGACTTTATCATCATGAAGAACTATTCATGCGAGTCAGTGTTTCCTTAAAGCCCCTGATAATATCAATGACTGCACTTCCTGGATGGTGTTTTGCACTTATAACTTTTCAAGAGATGTTTCATAAATGACAGTGGCACTTTGCATGAAGAGGATCTGATTGCTGTCTGGCCGTGTAGTTCCGTCTGCGAGTCTGCTTTTATCTCTGTGCATGCCTGCCGAGTAGTGAATGTGTCTGCTTGCGGTTACTGTATATGAAGGATTTTGTGTGCAAACTGCATTTGTGTGTATGCATGCATCCTCTTGAAGCATCCCATTCTGAGCTTTAACAGAGGGACGTTCATCTTTATATGATTCAGTAGATAGTATTTTTTATCTTCATTGAGGCTGCAGAAGGCCATGGAGCAGGAGACAAACATGATGCTAACAGTTGTATATAGTATTCAGTACGAAAGGCAAAGGACGCTATTCAGTGCACCATTTTGTCCACTCCTGCTCCATGGAAACCAAAAGAGAGAAGAGAAGTGAAAAGTAGATTGATGTCTGATTTCTTTCGTAATGTTCACTGTGCAGACACATAAACCTCCTTAAGCCACCCTAGCTCTGGTCAATTTATTAAAAAAATTACTTTGCACCTGTTACATGGACTTTCTGGAGTATTCCCATATCCTATTCAACTTCGCAGGGATGCACACTTTTATGTAGCGATCTCCAAACAAGGGCAAGAATGCTGGCCGCTCACTGTCATCCTATCATCCAATTATTGCATCCCATTTTTGGGTATATTGCCGGCACTGCGCTTTTCCACCTCAGTTCGCTTCACTTTCCGATTCGTACTTCATTCCCATTTCTCCTCCCATCATGCCCCGTTTCCAAACTTATATTGAAGACAGTCCAATGGGGATTATCAAAATAGCTTTTAACCAAAATGAAAGGATGATTTCACCCTACTGTGTCAAAAAGGTTTTACAATTTTGTTTTGAAGTATATCTGTTTTAATTGTTACAATTCACAAAACCCTGTCATTTGACTTAAACAAAGTACAGTTTTAAATCCTGCTATTGCTCATTTCTCTGCTCTGACCAATGTCCTTCTCCACTGTTTCCCGCATGGCAGAAGCTGCTCAGTTTTAGGAAAATACTGTTGAAATGAATTCAGTTGCATATTGTGGCCGAAGGCAGCATGTGAATTCATTGTGCTCAGTTGTTGTGAGATGTGAGGAAAGAGAGGAGATACTGCTAACACGGATGTAAGACATATCCTTAATCCACGCTACACACTAATAAAGTAATCTCCAGGATTTATCGCCAGTGCCAAATGTCAAACATGGAAACTGAACAAAGAGAAACGTTTCTTTGACGTGATGTCATATATCAGTCAGTTTTAGACTCATTACAAACAATATGTATGTAAATTGCCAGAGTTTATTATAAAGTGCGTAAGTACACAAAAATTGCCATTTTCAATTATTGTTGCATCCACAAGAAGCAATTTAATCTCTTTCACCAGTTCACTTTGCAAAATGAGATAATAAGGGAACTTTTTTCTTGTTGTCAAAGCCCTCTAACTGTCTCTGTCTTCTGCTTCCAGGACTCCATCCAAACGTCATCCAGTACATTCACTAGTTTTACAACTTTTACAACTACAAGCATCCATAAAAATCTACCCATACTGTATCGAAATACACCTGAATGCATCCTTCTCTCTGTCTCACACACACACACACTGCAGCCTGGGAGCAGTGGCTATATAATGAGTGATTGTTGAGAGGGAGTGTGCGTTGCTAAGTATTGTATCTGTACCTGCTAATTAACACATACAGACTGTCTGTATGATTTCATAATCTGTGTTACTTTCACATGCACACACTTGAGCAGAACACACACACACACAGACCCGTTGTAAAGTTCCGCACACACACAACACCTGTATTGAAAACACAGCATTGTTTCCATAGTGATGTTGTCATTACACTCTCAATAATCATAGAAGGAATGCAGCAGTGGGTGTCCCTGGAGTGTGCATTCAGACATTTGTTTATGTGTGTCTCTTGTGCATGCATGCTTATATGCCAATACACTTATTATCTTTTATTATGATTTCCACATTATACACCATATATTATGGCTCATACTGTATGATTGAGTACATGTACTCCCCCTAATCTTAAAAACGAATGTAATTATTAGAATGGAAATCATAATTGCAATCCATGCTGCCTGCTGTTATCGCATGTTAAGTCCTGGTGGATAACAGTATTTGGGCAGTTGCCTCTGGATCTTCCTTTCCATGATGTTATTGGCTAAGAGGCTGACACAAGATCCCCTGTGAATAGTATTTTCATTCAATCGCGGGTTGACATGTTAGACTGTCATATAAATAGCTTTAAAATGAAAAAATGGATTGGTTTTCAAAACCTTCAAAAACACAGGGACTGAGTGTACAAGGATGAATATTCATGCATGCATGCGTGTGTGTGTGTGTGTGTGTGTGTGCAAATGTCTTGCTCTGTATCAGACCGCCAGGAGAGGGGATTGGCGAGAGTGTTTGTTCTGCTTCTTAAAACAAACTCTTGAAGCAGATGAATGATATCAGGCGGTGCGATTAACAGGGACAAGGCTGAATGAAAACCTATGAGGTAGTCTTTTGCTCTGCCTCTCTCTGCAATGCATACCCTTTCGATTCCCATTTCATGGTAAAACTTGAAGTTATGGATCACATCTGCTGACATTCAGTGGCTTAAAGTCAACTGCGGAGAAGAGTCAAGAGAGAGATGGAGTAAATGAAAGGGGGATGTGAAAAGATAAATGTAATATTCATAAAGTTAACAGCATAGATGGGGGTGAGTGGGGGACAGTTAAGGCAAGGTGAGGAGGAAAAGAATGGAAATAAAGTAATCTCATAAAACTAATGAAGTGGCCACAGATGCTGGCAGGGCTTCTAAGTGGCAGAGCCAAGCCCCTCTTTCCCTTTAAGAGTTAGAATAAACTATGTCTTTATTATATACACTCATCTGTCAAAGCTATTGAGGCGATCCAGGTCCGTATTCATCAAATACAAGATGTATATATATATATATTTGAATGTTTTAAATATTTGCACTACATGAGGCGAGCTTGATTTATTATTTTTGCCACACATTTAAACATTCATTTTTTTATTCTTTTAAGTAATATAATATGTGCATTCCTCATTTGGATGGGTTTAATCTGGGAATTCTTTTAGCAGCGCTGATTCAAGCGATACGTGTGGTTTTCGCGGTGAAGTCCCTAACTGCTGCAAAATCTCCCGAGAGACTGTATCATCAGGGAATCCAGAAAGTCTGCCTTCTGGTTCACCAAAATCAACTTAGCATTAAGATCAACTCTTAGCGGCCTGTCTGTTATGAGACTTCCAACTGTTTCACTTCCAGCTTTGTGAGGACCACACAGTTCTCAAGCACAGTCCAGTAGCTAAAGACAGACTTGTGAATCTGATGTCAGAGCTAAGATGCCTCTGGGAAACTGGGTGCGCTGTTGTCTCCCATGTGCCTATTCAAGAAGCGCATTGCAGCTAAGAAGTGGTGGGTAGAATTGGCAGGCTTTGCCGCCACAGAAAGAACCAAGCTTGCATTTGGTTTGTGGCTGCTGATGAGTGCAGCCACAATGTTTACCGTGCGATTAAGTTAACGTGTTGCTTACCATAAAGAAAAGCGGGAACTTGCTATTATTATGTTACTAAGAGATTGTTCTCTTCTCTGACATTTTTCAACTTTTCCAGGGCGGTGGGCAGTCCGCTGGTGATGGACCCCAACAGCATTTGCAGAAAGGCGAAGCGTCTGGCAGGGAAGCAGGCTGAGCTGTGCCAGACTCAGCCAGAGATCGTCAGTGAGGTGGCCAAAGGAGCCAGGCTGGGCGTCAGGGAGTGCCAGTACCAGTTCAGGTACCGCCGGTGGAACTGCACTAGCCACAACAAGTACTTTGGCAAAATACTGCAGCAAGGTGAGTAAGGAAGGAATGTGTTTTGAGTGTTGGTAACTACTTTCATGTCTCTGTTTCCCTGTCTTTTTCCCCTATTATCTAATATGGAGTGCCATTTATACGTACATAAAGCTATAGTCTTTGGGAAATACACTAATTTGCTTCTTGCTCAGCGTTAGATGTTCAATATAAATCTACAGCCAGCAGCTTAGCTTAGGTTAGGCTGGAAAGAAGGGGAAGCAGCTAGCCTTCCTCCTTCCAAAGGTAATAAAAGTAGTCTATAAGCACTCTAAAGCCCACTAACATGTTATTTCTTATTTGTTTAATCCTTACAAACATGGAAGTGTAAAAACAGCACAGTGGCTTCCTGGGTCTACAGCAATACATACAGTATATCACGTGTAAATTAGTGAGCTTTTGAGGCGGTTGTAGACAGATTTTGTTACTCTTAGACAGAGCGAGGTTAGCTGTTTTCCCCTGTTTTCAATCCTTTTGCGAAGCTAAGCCAACTGTCTCCTGGCTCTGTAGCCTTATAGTGAATGGAAAGATATGACAGTGGTATTGATCAGAAATTCCCATAATCGTCTTTGTGGATGTCTCCATCAGCCCTTCCAAATACCTTTCACAGGGTTTTTAAAGAACACATTGAAAATATTGTCACGTCCCATTTTTCAGCCGTGAGTACCTTAGGATCTGAGCCCATGACCTCTCGACCGCAGCTGACGGTCCGACGTCAACTTGAGGACAGATCCCTGTCTGATGGCACTCCAATAGACAAGGGCAGCTGTTGTATTTCAGACCAGACGTATTCACACTTGACTGACTCTCCTCTTCATCAGATTGGGCACGCTTGAAATGATCAGCTAAAATTGCCGTTTTTGCTCCTAACATCTCTCTTAAGATCTCTTAACATCTTCCTCCAGCTCTTTGAAGTCTGTAATATAACTGATGTTGGGTCACCGCGAGGTCTCCCCCAATTACTGTGTTGGTTTTCCTCTTTTATGATTAGATTCATAGAGAGCTGCCTGTCTCCTCTTTGACTGGTACTACAGAGAGCCTTTATCTCTGTGTTTAGTCAACAAACAGGGGATACCTGATATTAATATACAACAACAAATGTGTCAAGCACGTTATTAAATCCATTTTGGGTCTCATTTGTAGATGTGCATCCTGAAGTGTTGTGCTTGCCTGCCATTATTGTCTCAAGGAAATGACACATGAATTGTTAATCAGAGAGCAAAGGCAGGATACTGACATTTTCAATAAGTTCTGTGTAATTGTAATTAATAAGATGGTTAAAAAGCATGTTTTGTCATCCTCTCATTTGACTGTCGGTGTTGTCAGTGTCTCTGGAAGGAAAAGAAAGATGTGGAAAAAAAGAAATGCAAACACAAAGATAGGGAGGGAGGGAAAAAGAGGACAAGAATCTACCAGTAGAAGATAGACCAGTAATTAATCATAAATTCCTGCCTGTCTATAAGGGAGGCCAGAGTGCTCCTCTGTTTTGAAGCCTTTGTCCTCAATTACCTGGATCTGCTCTTAATGGCCGTTTATCATGAACTAAATGTCAAAATAAAAGTGCCTTTGTATTTAATGTTCAATCTCTCTAAGTGGTTTACTTAGCCTCATTGACCTCTATTTAGATTTTAAGTGATAATAGACTCCTTCAAAGTATTTTAATGACGTGATGTTTTCTTTGTAGATACATTAGACAATCATAATGGAAGCTGGTGCAGTCTGCGTAGTCCATTCATCCCTGTGTCCATGGGTGTTGGGTCTGAGTATACTGTGTGCTTTTTTATTCTGCTTCTTATTTGATCCCCAGAATTCTTTTTAAACATTTTTTTTAAACTTTACTGGCTTTTAAGGGTGGAGGTGGTGCTAGCTAATTTCTGCAGCACTCTAGATGTGACACTCTTAACCACCTGCATCATTGGCACAGTGAACTATGATGAAATATGTCCGACCAAAACTTGTTTTATATAGATGGTTCAGTCCCTAACGTGTGTTTTATGTGTACGTGTGCACATGCATGTTTGGAAAAGTGTTTTAGTAAAGACTTTGTAGCAAAGGAAGTTTATAGCTAATCTGATTAACATAACGTCTAAATGCTCTAAGTATGGTAGTATGTATGTGTGTTTGTATTTCTTTCATTCTAATGTTTTCAGATGATGAACATGATTTTGCATACATCACATCTCTAGCTGTATGGCTGAAGAAACATACACACAGACTTTCATGTGGCATGGTCCATGAGTCTACTTTTTGACTTGAAAACACTTTTTGCATGAAGCCACTTGAAGAGGTAGAGGTGTGGAAATGTGTGTGTCTGCATGCGTGTGTGTGTGTGTGTTCATATAATAGGGGCTGTAGTTGATTTCACAACATTACTGAAACCCTGCCATCTCACACACTTACTGCAACAAGTGCCAACGAATGAACATGTCGACACAATCATGACAACTCATTTTGCATCGGTAACGAAACGTTTTGTCCTCTGGACATGAACCTTTCAGCTATATTCAGTTGCAAAACAAGGTCAAATATCTGGCTTCTCATCATTAATTGGTATTTATCATCCTCTTTCCCCTGATCTTCGCCGTGTTCGAATAACATACAGACTCCAGAGCGCTCACGGCAGGCATTGTTAGCCATGCCAGCATACTGTACAGTGATGCGGGTAATCACATAAGAGATGCTGTAGTCATTTGAAAGCCATCATAGATTGTGTACAGAATGTGTGTGTGTGGAGTATTGTACTGCTAGATTCTTACTTTGGGCTATACAGTGGTTGCGATGTAATTAAACCAGTCATCAATCGTGTCAAACATTTTCTCATGAATGATTTTTACAGGTAGACACACAGGTATAGAGACAGCTCTACTCAAGTTTAGACCTTTACACACTTTGTGTTTTCTCGTATTTAACTGCTATTCAAAGTAAGTGAGTATATCCACTGTACTGTATGTTTACTAGACAACATGATCCAGTGATCCTGATAGTAAAAACACTTTTTAAGGTTTGATTTATGTGATGCTGTATCGTATTAAACAAAAATTAAAAGGCAAGTACAGAGGGTGTCTGTCTAAATGAATGAAGTAATTCATGTCAGGCTGTTTTAAGGGTTTTGGCATCAATGAGAAAGGGTGCTGTAGTGTGTTGGTTTCTACACCTGTATTTCTTTCGTGGCCCAGTTATAATCCCACTTGTGAGCAGTAACTCAAACCAGAAATGTGTCGAACAAATACGAGCTGTCATGCTGGGATGGCACAGTAGTTAGGAGGTAGCCTCTCAGAGAGGATTAAAGGTGATTTGAGTATGTCGCTGCTCCTGAAAACCTCAGCCCTATTCTGCTGAACAGCAGGAGCAGCAAGGTGTGGTCTTAACTGAGCTACATACACACACAGTTGCAGAAGGAGAGCTGTAGCTGTACATCCACCGCCATACACATGTAAAGTCACTCCCGAACAAATTTAAGTGATTTATTTTTTCTACAATCAACCGCAGCAAATCCCAAACAATGCAGATCGAAAATCCACAGGACTCGTTCATTTAACAAACTTCAAAATAAGACGCAAAAAAACATTTGACAACTGACTATTTGTGTGATATCATAAATGCTTTAAATTGCTTAAACATGCACACAAACGTACACATATTTGCCTGTATTGGAGACATATCTGGGTGTTGGGGTGTACAGCTGGTATTGATATCACGGTGCGCTGGGGTGTGCATGTCTCGTCGCACGCCACCCATTCTGTGTGTGTGTGTGTGTGTGTGTGTGTGTGTGTGTGTGTGTGTGTGTTACCGTTCCTAATGAATCCCATTCACTGAATCATGCGATATGGAGTTGGCAGTGTTGACGGTGGTGACTGCACGCTCACCGCCTTCCAACTCTTAAAAGTCCTTCCCTTAGTCTCCGAATACACATACAAGGGCTCGCTAAGTGGCTATTCTCCCTCTCATTCGCTCTAACACACACACACAAACACACATGCATATACTCAGTCCCTAGTTTATCATCAATCTAGGCAGAGCTCTGCCATTTAAACCATCAATGTCCTGAACAATTCCCACTGCTTGCTTGTTTCTAGGCAAACTTTACACAGACTTATTGTCAACAAACAAAGCATTATCTGTCTACCCAACCCATTGGGTTCTACTGAAGAATTAGAGAAAACGAAAAAGAGATAAAAGTTGACAAATGTATGTCTCAGTTTTCACTCACATGAGTCATCAGTGAAGTTAACATAAAACACGCTCTTTTCCGAAACCTATTTAAGTGGTTTTGTTGTCTAAACCTAAACCGAAGTTTATTTTGAAAAGACACGAAACAAGTGGAAACTGACACGCCGTTCCTGACACATCCAAAACTGGTGCTAGGGGGGTACCTAGCATCATACAATGAAGCTTACAGCCACTGACCAAGCGCCTGTATTTGACGAGTTGGTTTCGTTTTTTTTTATTAGATTTGCTCATAATGATAAAAATAGACCTGTATCGTTTTTATTACTATTTTGTTCCGAAGCAATGGTTTAATCTCAGTAACTAAACACAGTGGTTAAAATTGATTTGAAAGATATTAGATTTGTTCTGACCAAGATTTATTTTTATTACCTGCATTTCCCTGGACAAAGAGGACAACGAATGCATACGATACTCAGCCAAATAGGTCTCTGAGATTCTTTCATAGCTGCAATAACTGTGCATAAAGAGAATGATGCTGAAGCCACCGGCGAGGACAGACCATCAATTTGCAGTTGTGGTTGGACATGCCTTCAGCCAGGAGTGTTAAGCTCTGCACCCAAAATAAACCATCAGCTGTGGTGTGTGAATGACAGAGGGAGAAATAGACATCCTCTCAGCACCACAAATCCAATGGCGCTTGAGATCGTAGTAATGGACGAGGATTGAGAGAAAGGTGCTTTTATCTTGTTTCCGCATGGCTGCGATATTAACAGACTTGATGGAGGGACAGATGCATGGATGACTGGATGGAAGGATGGAAACTAGCATCTGCCATTTGTAGGGCTATCTTTTTCCCCAGTTGTTATCCTAAGATTGATTGAGGATGAGTCTGATCAACAGATGTCTGAATATGGTGTGTGTAATGTGTAGGTATTTACCATGAGCATGTCACTGTGTCATAATGACAATGCTGAAAGGGTTGAATTGAAGAAAGTAAATGCCTGTGTGTATTTGCATATTTGGATTACTCCTCTATTTTCAAAATGATGGCCCTTTTTTCAACCTCCTGTTTAAAATTTTGGGAAGATATATATTTGCTTTACTTTTCTAGTAAAGCAGCTGGTTAGCTTAGCTAGCAAGTTCAAACCCTCTGTTTTGACTTCTGACGTTGTGCCTGTTTACATTTGGATTATGAATTATCCCTTTCAGTTGTGGTGAAATCATAACAGAATTCTCAATAACATCAGATATCAGTTTATCCTGCATTGCGGGGACTTGTCTGCCAACTAAACTTGGGAACCAATCAATAAACTAAAACCCCTCTTTTCCCTCGTTCCTTGTATCGTAGATATCAGGGAGACAGCGTTTGTTTATGCCATCACGGCGGCCGGTGTGACCCACGCCGTGACCCAGGCCTGCAGTATGGGAGACCTCCTGCTGTGTGGCTGTGAGGCGACCAGGAACAGAGCACCTCCAAGGCCGTCCTCATCCTCGCCCACTGGAGACGGAGTCAAGTGGGAGTGGGGGGGCTGCGGAGATGATGTGGAGTTTGGTTATGAAAAGTCGAAACAGTTTATGGATGCCAAGAGAAGAAGGGGCAAGAGTGACATCAGGACGCTCATTGACCTGCACAACAACGAGGCTGGGCGGCTGGTAAGAGACTGTTTCAGAATCAGAACCTCACTATGTCTGTGCAGTTTCTGTTTACATCTTGAACGGGTAGAGTAAGAAATAGATTGAACACTGTATGTGTGAATACAAACTGTTTTTTTTAACTGCTACTGTGCTGTACTAAACACCAGTGTGTGATATTTCACTTAACTCTCAAAGATTTTAGCAGCAAAGGTGTTGCTTGTCCTGTGGAATGTTCCGTCATTCCACGAACATGCAAAAGAGAGAGACATCGCCCCCAGCCATATATGTGTAGCGGCGTAAGCTGATATTCTGACAAGAATCAGGTTCCTGGAACACAAAAACAAGAGCGTGCCACACATTTTGTTTTCAAGCCTCCGAGGCAGGTAGCTTCTAATGTTTCCACAGCCCTTGTAGAAGTTTAAAGTTCCTCTTTGTTGCCCGTATGAACGCCGAGTGAAGTATGGCGTCGACAACTCAACGTCCTACCCGAAAGAGTGGAGATAAAGGAGCAACTTTGGAGAGTAGTTAATTACGTTCGTTTGAAATATAGCTCGGTAAATCTTCCAGATCACATTTACTTTTAGCTGTCAGTTTTGCGTCCCAGTTTGTTACACCCTCTTGCAGAAATGTTGACACATAAACAAGCAAAACACAGAGTCACAAAGTTCACTTTGATTGGGGTCAAAGGCAGGTAGAGAGGAGAGGGGAGGATTCTGGGACTTAATCCAATTGTAGCATTAGCGAACAAACCATTTGAACAAAAGGAGAAACCTGCACACAAATGCCCAGAGGTTGAGAAATAAGCGTGTTGTGATGCATGCAAATGTCTATTTATGTGCAAGCACGCGTGCAAACTCGTATACACGTTTTGCAAGTGTGTGTGTGTGTGTGTGTGTGTCTGAACAGGCGTCTGTGATGGGTTAATTATGTGCAGTATAAGTGAATGATCTGTTGTCAAGGCTTGTTAGATGTAGGAAGGCCAGAGGCAACATGGAGGGAGCGGGGGGTTGGGGAGTTAAATTCCTTCTGAATAGCGCCGGCTTTTATCTTACCTATCTATCAGTGTGTGTATTTGTGTGTGTGTGCGTGTGTGTGATCCGGTGGCTTTTTCTGTGATACACTATGAAAACACAATAATAAATAACTTCTTTAGAGAACTTGTCATTTGTCGAAAGCAGTCCTGCTTCACTTCAGGGTACAAGTTTAAAAGTTTCCTTTGTCCTCTTTTTTCTGTTTGATCAACCATCTCTCTTTCTTCTTATTTATCACCCATTTACCTCCTTCACCTCTCTGCTTTCCCCCTGCCACCCATAACCTTACACCCACCAACCCCTCCACGCTCTCCCCTTCACAGGCGGTGAAGCTCTACATGCGGACAGAGTGCAAGTGCCACGGTCTGTCGGGGTCGTGCACCTTGCGCACGTGCTGGAAAAAGATGCCTCATTTCCGTGAGGTGGGCGACCGCCTGCTGGAGCGCTTCAACGGTGCTTCCAAGGTGATGGGTGGCAACGATGGCAAGACCCTGATCCCTGTCGGCCAGAACATTAAGCCACCAGACAAGCAGGATCTGATCTACTCTGATGAGTCACCCGATTTCTGCCTTGCAAATCGGAAAACTGGCTCGCTCGGGACAAGGGGGCGCATGTGCAACAGCACAGCCATGGACATCAGCGGCTGCGACCTGCTGTGCTGCGAGCGCGGCTACTGGGAGGAATCAGTGGTGTTGGAGGAGAACTGTCTGTGTCGTTTCCACTGGTGTTGTGTGGTCCAGTGCAAGAAATGCTTGGTCCGAAAAGAGCTTAGTCTCTGTCACTGATGAACTGAGGTTGACAGCAGTCAATATGACTTGGTTACTTCTGTTACATTTGGAGGTTTTTGCTTTAGTTTGGCTGGTGTGAAAGAAGGAAAAGATGTGGATTTTCATGGTGATCCTTTTGTTTTTGCACCAGTCACATTCAGATAGTATTTTATCATAGTTCTGGCTTCTTGATTCCCAGGAATGTGGATTTGAATGCAACCACATGGAAACAAAAGCAGGGGGACTAAAGGAAGTCAAATAGAGAATATGTTTGTTTCTGAGCTACCTATTTTTCTTTTTCTTGTTTTTGAAAAAGGACCAAAGAATGTCAAAATATGTATTTTTTCTGAAATGAAAGAGGAGGTTCCTTGGTGTCAATTCCACCACCAGTTAAACAACACTGCTTGTTGTTAGCTGTCAGTTAAAAACAAAGAGTTTCAGACTTCACCTTGTGCTGATGCACTGATTTGGTTATGGAATGACTGTAGGTAGAAAGCATGCCAACAGTTGCATCCTTCATTGGAGTAATCCATTCTTTACACTTTTACTCTTTTCTTTTGGGTTTCAGAAAAAACACCACCCTGCACACTCTTTATATGCAGAGCCACACTCCTACTACAGCCCCATGCACATCATTTCAGCATGTGGAGAAACCCTCTAGGCTTGACAGACCTGCCATTCTCGGTTACGGCTGCTGAGCTATGATTGGACAATTGCTAATGTGGGAGAGGTTTAGCAAACCATCAATTGTATAAATGGCTGCTAATCTATGAGGGCCATACTGACTATCATGAACCTTTTTGAGTCTCTGACGATTCTTTATTGTGTTATCCGTTATTTTACGTCTGTCAGATCTACAGGATCATAGAAAGATTAAGCCCCGATATTCCTAATTAGGCATGAGCAATAAACAGAGAATCTTTATATTTTACCACAAATCTTAAAAATGTTGTTATAAATGTCTCTCAGTTACATTAACTGTAGCTTTAAGTAAATATCAAACATCAAATACAAACAATGCGGATCTCGATTTATTTTTTCTACTACTGCAACAAAAATAAACTAAAAAGGGAAACGGTATCACATTATCATATTTGAAGAATGCTGTCAACACCATGTTTTGCAGGTGTGGACTTGGCCTGCCAGCAAAGACTGTTATTTATATAAAGATATGATGACAAGACTACTCACTTCCATCTCTCTCAGAAGCACTTTGGATACGATGGCTGCCATGGACTTCCTCAATAGGTTGGCAATAAAACCTTTTGCGGTTGTCTGTTTCTGTTAAACCAAAAAAGAGAAACCTTTATTCACATTTCATTGTTTGTTATCGAGAAACTGTATATAATGTATTTTGTTTATCTGTTATGATATACAGGGCTAATGTAATAATGCACTTTGGATGTTAGCTTTTGTTTGATACTGTATATGCAGTGTGTGTGTGTGTGTGTGTGCGTGTGTTTGAGAGAAAGTGTTGAGTATGTGTTTGTGCAGGTTGGCCAGTTATCACCGTATCCTTCAGTTGACAGTACCTTTTATAGGCCTATATCTCCAATCAAGTTGCTGTCTGACATTAAACTGCATTATGTTGGTTATTAAAAGCACACTGCTCTTTGACTCTCTGCCTCTGTGTGAGGCAGACAAGATGTTATATTTGCTCATATTCAGAGGAAGTATGTTTCCCATAAACCTGTCGTCTCATTTACACTCACATTTTATTACCAGACAATGTAGAGTAAGTATACTGAACTATAATAATACATTGCCTCCACTTGTTCTGATAAGGCTGTTGTCCCTGCTGTTGTCTCTGCTGTGGTCTCTGAGTGTTTAGGTTCAGAATCAGCCTGTTTTGATTTTACAGTTGGTGATGTTTATGTTTCTGGAAGCTATCATTGTTCAGATCTGGCTGTTACATACTAACACAGTTACTTTCAAAGTAAAAAAAAAACACTAGTATACAGTACATTTTAAGTCAAAGTGGATATTCGCTGTTAGTCTTACATTTAAGAGACGATAGTCGGATTGTTTTTGGAGTATTCATCAAAAGCCTTTTCGGCCCCACATATTTAGCAAGACTGCGTTCTTGTCATTTCAATGACCCAATGCAACATATGGATCATTATTACGATAATCACTGTTGCAGCAATGAAGCAACTGAGAGTATTTTTATGAAGAGCATACATATATTGAATATTAGAATGAGAACAACAAAAAACAACTCTAACACTTTACAAAAGGGCCAGTAAATATCTTTACGTGGTAATCATGATGACATGCTTTTTAGTTAGTTATTGTTTCCCAGTAACTTTGACTGTGTTATTATAATGTGAGGAATGATGAGGTGATGGCAACATTATATGATATTTGTATAACGTTTTGGGCTGACTTAAGTAGTGACATTAACAGTGCTGTCTGATATTGTGAACTTCTCTATCTGATAAGACCATTTAATATCTGCATATGTTAAATTAAGCAAAATCAAAGTACTTTTAGCAAATACCTTAACTGGGTTTGGTGGGAAACAACAGTATGTAGCAAAAGGAAGGAGCATATTAAAGCATTTCTACCAGAATGGAAACAAAAAAAACACCTCAGTGACAACTAATGCAACCCATCTTTGGCCAACTAAGTTGTGTGTCAGCAACTTACCATCATTTCGTTATCTATTCAAAGGCATTTTGTTTGCTTCACATTTTGTTATGCTCTTCATTTTTGTATTCTTCAGATATCATTTCATATCTAGATGTTATGTTGCATTTTCATTTAGCGTACAACCACTGTGTGTGACGCACAATCAAAACACTATTCAAATAAAAAGTACAACATTCTGTTTTTTTATTTAGTCTCATTCTTTCCATGAAATGTTACAGTATGTGTGTACAAATTCATTATTTGAACCATTTAAACACATTCCAGTACACTTAACATAAGCATATTTAATCTCAATAAATGTTTTGTGTTACGCTAGGTGTCTTTATATCGGTTTTGAGTTCAATCCTGACACAAATATTCCACATCACACCTCTCATATATCCTGCAAGGAGAAGCATCACAAATACAACACTTCAACCTGACAAAATTTACAGACTAATTTAATTACATCTTATAGCACTTTTTCCGTTTCGGAGTTCTCCAAGGCATTGTTTGAATGTAGAATTTATTTTATACAAGGTTTTCACTTCGGTGATGATTGTCACCAAACTGGATCCTTTCCACACCTCTGCTTCGATTCGATTATTTTTGCCACTCAGCAAAAAGAAGTGTTATTGTTGTGAGGTATTTATTCTGTAGAAATGAAAAGACAAGGAGGGGGAAAAAGAGTCAACCTGCATTAGTTTTGAGCTCTACAAGTTGACACAAGTTCATATTTTCCAGGAATTTGTTGCACGTAGGTGTGTAGCAGAGTCGGGCCAGCAGTTATGTTTAAGACATGGAGAGGTAGGCCAAAGAACAGGAAAATGCCAGGGGGCTCTCGCCTGCTCCTATATCCCCTACTGTTGCTCCTTCGCCCTCTCCTCTCCTCTCCGCTCCTCTCCTCTCCCTCTGTCTTTAAGCTGTGTAGGCATTCAGTGCTGCATGGGCAAAGCCAGAGAAAATAGACAAGTGAGCAGATAGATTTATTAGAGCATTGGTATAAATATGGTTGTCTGTCGACATCTGTGTGCATGTGGCTGCATGTGTCTGTCTTTGTCAGTGTGTGTGTGTGTGTGTGTGTGTGTGTGTGTGTGTGTGTGTGTGTGT